AGTTACCTGAGCCTATTCTCAGCCCATCATCTCACATTGCATTGTGCTATATTTTGAGTATTTTCCATCAAGAGAAAGATATATTTGTTACATTTAAGAAAATACTTCAACTTTCTAGCTCTGTACTCATGTTTAAAATCTTTTTTACACCAACAGATGTGTAAAGCTTAAAAGCTGTAAATACAGAAGATGCTTATCACTAAACAGAAAACTTATCTTTAAGAACATAATTATTAGCATTAAGCAGCCACTCAAAGGCTATCACAGTAATGCATAACCACAGATTGTTTTTCAAAAACCATTGCTATTTCAAGCCGAAATTTCTATTGACAGACAAAATTTCTGACCACATTTTAATAATTTCAAAGAAAGGTGTGAGAACACTTAGGCTTACAAAGGCTGAAACGGACCACTAACCGAGGGAATATCCTAAGCTTTACTTCTTGTAAATAGCCCAGAATGTCACTAAGGAAGTCTGAGACAGAGAGATTATAAGAACTTTTTGTTGAGATGAGCACAGATGAGAACCTGACAACTCTTCAAGTAACTACTGCTTTGTAGACATGCTCCAGTGACAAAAGCCATTTGAGTGAAGCATGGCAAGACAAGGATGACACAGCAACTTTGTGTTTCCTTAAGTTTCCTCATTAACTGGTAAATATGACCTGGTTATTAAAACTGCACTAGAGTAGGGTACTGAAATCAGACTGCCTTCACTTCTTACCTGTGTTGAAACCCCTGGAACTGAAAGAACATTAATTTTACAGGTCAGTCTGCCTAGCTGTGCTATCAGAAATATTTTTGGTAGAGAATACAAGAATACTCAGGAGGAGATCAACTACACAAAGTAGTAACAACTTAAGTAACAACTTAACAACCTAAAGTAAGAACATAACTACTTAAAAGAGAGCTAGATTTGCTATTAGGAAAAGATGAAGGATTAAGGAAATACGGTGAAACTATTATGTCAGTTAATATTTTGTATGACCATATGGGTTGTGCTTAAATCTTTACCTATAATTTAGGAAGAACCCTGTATAATCAAAAAATAAGAATTTGCATTTTGAACACTGGATGTGATTGTTCGCATTTTGAAGGGCTGGAAGAAATGCTTTCACAACATAAACTCCTTATGTAATAACAACATGTATATATTACTCCTTATGTAATAACAAACATAATGGAAGCAAAAGCTGCCTGCTATTCTGCAGAAAATAGCTAGAAGTATAACACTTGCAGTGAGGTGGAAACTAGAATATAACGGAGCGCTGGTATGTATATACGTGTTTACACACCCTCACCAAGGTTTGTAACTCATATAGGTGTAGTCAGAAAGTAGTTATGCAAGTGTTAACGGAATGATGTTACAGTTAAGCCCTATCCAACCAGAAACACATACTAGAGAAGAAAGGCAACTGGAGTTCTAATTCATTTTACTTAACAGTGATGATTTATGACTGAATTTAGGTCAATGTCACATTTCTGAATGTTTGTTCTATTACAGGGATCAAAAAAACCCAGAAGCTATTTTACTAGGACTTAAAGACATGAACTGACAGTTCTCTTACAGTGAATTCTCCAGACAGAAAAATGGGAATAGTTTCCTCTCATCCCGCAGAGAATGAAACCAATTTTTCTTATGATAACCAGGATTACTAATGGGAGAGACACCATCTTGAATCCAAATACATGAATTAAGACATTCAGCTTCCTTCAGTCCAAGATGGCTAAATCACTGTTTCTGTTTGGCATTAGAAGAGCATCTTCTCACAAATTCTTTGTGGCTCCAAAAGACAGCAGAGACCATTTTTTGTCAAATCAACTGCAAGACTGTTTCAGAAGAACGAGTGCAAAGGGACATGAAAAGGGAACCTGTAGAATGATGATCTAAAGAGTCTCAAATATTCCGGCATCAAACTCTAACCCTTAGGATGTGTGTCTGCTGCGGTCTGATGAGTAAGGTGATCCAAAAGCACTCCCAAGAGATAGGAAAAAGTGGCAAAAGCAATCGTAGTATCTAGAGAGGAAAGTTCTGACTCAGGAAACCTTACTTCATTTTACCTCCATCTGCTTTATTTAACAACATCTGTGGGGAAAGGAGCATCATCTCTTTCCTTTTCTCTTTGCTGGTTGCATGTAAAGGTCTGTAAATCTTAACTTCTCTCTCCAAACTAAATGAAAAATAGGATGCAATTTAGGAATCCAAATCTCCAAGAACTGTCATTCTAAACAACTCATGCTTGTGACTACAAATTAATGGACATTTATAAAGTCGTGTGAATCTGTTTTTGATGAAGTGACAGTGACTGACCAACAAGCTTGAACACAAAAAAATCTATACAGTGGCCCTGGTAAATAAATGGATTCATGATTAACCAACACTGACAAAGCAACTCGGAAATGGGTGTTCTCGGCATGTTCTTTTTCTATCTGAAAGACAACCTTCAATATTGGTTACTGAGGAATTTTTCTTTTACTTTGGGGGAAAAAAAAAGAATATAAAACAATAGTATCAGTGAGAAATAAGAAGAATACAAAACATTATTTAAACAGCCAAAACTGCATGAAACATGAAGTTGCTTTGAATTTTAACTTTATATATCTTTCAGAATACATTCATGACAGAAACGTAGATCTTAAAATGTTAATATGGAAAGACTAAAGATAAAATTTGACACACATGAAATGTTAATTTCATAAGCTGACATCAATAGCAAGTAACTGCTCAGAAGACACAGAACACCATTTTAAAGGACAGCTAAGTGAGGCAAATGAAAAGCAGCCACAAGGGCTGTTTCCTGACCACTTTAAGCCCCCCAGCACTACAATGCTACAAGTGCTTACCTGACTATGGGGTGAATCACATCTACGTAGTACATCACACAAGTAAGTGTGTGGCTACATAAAATCTACTGCTAAAACACCATGTACCTACTTTTTCATCTGCACTGTCAACTGAAAATACATCTAAGAAGGGTCCAAGTATCCCATGGTACAAAAGGAACCTTCAGGATTGCAGCAAGGCATAAAGGAAATGGAGAGCACATGCAGTCAACGGATACTATGCCGAGGCAAAATATCTCTTGCCTTGAACTGCTGCAATACAAATACCCACAATATGAACAGTCAGACGAAGATTTAAAAAAGAATTTATATTGTTTTAACATACTAAAATGTATTTTAAAAATGTGGGGAAAAATGTAATTTTTAAGATTAAGTTTTTAATATGATTAAAATGTTCATGCATCTATCACATCATAAAATCAAAAAGCCTGTATGAACACCAGACAAGTATAGTACATTACAGCAATTTCTTAAGTCTCTGACATTGTCATGTTTATGAAATACCTATCTTTGAAACAACAACATTCACAGTAAGCTGGTTACTTAGAAACATGAAGTCAACCCTGGTACACCGGATGACGGAAATATTTCATCAGGGTGTAGTGGTATGTAACCAAGTAGATGAATTTGCCCATTTCAAGTCAGCTACAACCTACTGTAGCTAATAATGATGTCAGCCAAGTAATATTGTGCATTACTATACACATTTCAAGAATGCATTCACGCTAGTTTTTAATAGCTAATGTTTTTACCTAAGGAATTTGTAAACTTAAAATATTAGATGAACTCTTCATTTCTCAATAACTGATGCAGTAACACAGACCACACAGTCCCTGTGGACTCCCATGCAAGTGTACCTGGAGAATATCACCTTATTATTATCTTCCCAAGTGGTTCTCTATTTAATTGCTCCTTTATGATTATGAACAGGTGACAAGATACTACAAAATCAAAATGGTTTGCTATGAAAATCACGGCAGGCACTCTAACTGGTACCAAACGACACAGCTTACACAGTCAAAACAACTTTAATTTTTGAGCAGTTACAGTTCTAAACATACAATAAAAAGTAAAATAGCAAATAAAAGCCTGTTCCTTTTAGTTTGAATTTTTAACCTTCTCTGTGTAGTCTTTTTCACAGTTTATGAACTCAAATGTCTTGGTTAGCTAGACAAACTCACCCTCCCTTTTTTTTTTTATCTTGTCCCATCAGCAGTTTGCTCATTTTCCAATGACTGTGGACACTTCCCCTAGCCCTAAACAAACTCAAAATTTCTTGCAGCTCTGAAGCTATACTTTAAATGACCTTTTATTTTGTTGTTGAATACTTCCTTTAACACTTCTTCGGTAGAACAATGTAACTGAACAGTGTTATAGATTAAGACTGTATAAGGATAAACAGACAGTAATGTATTTCCCTCCTGGACCTGAAAATGATTTGGTATTCCATATCCCGAGACATGACATATCCATACCCCACGAATATACAAATTCTCAAACATAACACTAGTAATTAACAGTCTTTGGCCTTATATTCACTGAATTAATGCTAAAATCCTAAGGACTATCACAGTGTACAAAATTTAGTCTTTACTTAGAACTGGCTATCCCAAAATAGACAAGGACTATTTTTCCTAGAATGTACAAATTCTTATAACAGCAATGCCTTATACTGTCTCTGCAGACAGCTACAAATACACTGAGTAAACCCACTAAAAAATAACAAATAACTCTCCAGAGATTTACAACACGTGATGAACTGACTGCAAACCCTATTCCCGGTCCCCCTGCATTGCTGGCTGGGGGATAAGGTAGAGAATTCAGGAGTGAAGTTAAACCCCGGAAAAAGGAAGGAGAGTGGAGATGTTTTTAAGATTTGGGTTTATATCTCATTATACTACTCTGATTTTATTGGTAAGAAATGAAATTAATTTTTCTCGATTTTTGCCCATGGCAGTAACTAGTGAGGGATCTCTCCTTACCCTTATCTCAGCCCACGAGTCTCTTATTACATTTTCTCTCCCTTGTTCAGCTGAGGAGGGGAGTGACAGAGTGGCTTTGCTGGGTACCTGGTGTCCAGCTAGGGTCAACCCACCTCATACCTGTTGTGAAAGCCATAAGTTTATACAATAGCTGAGCGCTTGTAAGGAAATTACCTTTTGTGCAGCAAGATGGAGAGCAGTTCTCCGGCTACGATCAGCTCTATTAACATCGGCTCCAGCCTTCAGCAATGCCTCTGCACAGTCCAGCCTGTCAGCCAAGACACAGTACATAAGTGGAGTTCTTCCAAATTGGTCCTCTTTATCTTTCAGCTCAGAGTTTCCTAAAAGACAAAACCAAAACAAAAGCTCACTTCAAACAGTTAAGTCTATTAGTATCTAACTAAAAATAGTACTTTTTTATTAAAAAGGTAGCTTATTATAATATGATTAGGAGGTATCTTATTATAATATGAACAGGGTGAACAAAACAATGGAGTATATGACAAACTCGGAGTTACTGACATTTACAGAACACTTCAAAAATGTATTTACAGAAGAAAGTACATTCAGAAAACATTAGTGCCATAAATACACCTACTACCAGTAACATTCTGCAGTGGCATAATTATAAATAATTTTTAAATAATTACACAGATCTTGGCTGCAAAGACTAGTTTAAATAATATCAACAGCACATAAACCAAACAGTCCTTCTGAAACTTGTAAACACTGTAACTAAAAGAAGCTTTGAAGTCTACTCACAGCAATGTTTATTTTAAAAGCATAAATGTCAATATTACATCAATACCATTATTTACTTTAGGGTGCCTTACAATATGGAAACTATGAAAATACTTCACAAGCTTTCTTGAAATGATAAAGTTAGTAGGCAGTAATTAAGCTGAATAAGAAGTCTGACATCCTATTAAAAAAAAAAATCAAAACACTATTCTTATTCACAGACAAAAAAAAAATTCCCTAAGAGTCACTTTCATTATAAAGTTTCATATTTCTATCAAGTCACTACATAAAGACTAGGATCTTTAACTTCATGTGTATCAATTACCCTATGCATCCTGACCTTCCAGATCTGCCACATAGCAATGTTGTCTACTATTACTCAAGGAACACTGAATTTTACAGGGAAGTTAGTTTTGCTTTGTAATTATTCCTCTGTCTGCATGACTGTTGATGCTTCAAAAGCACTCCAGAAAAGGCACGCTTCTTTACAGTCTTTGCTCTCCCCCAGCATTTTATACTTATCTACATATCCAGTAATTGTACTCTTAATTATCATTTCTATTGATTCACCCAGTAGAAGAATCAAGCAGATTAAAAATGAATCAAGGGGACCATCAAGAATTAAAATTCATTCCCCACCAATCAAGTCTCTAACAAAAAACACTGTTAAGTAGGATACTGCCAGTTACAACGATCATTTACTTGCTCACTCCATTTCTTAGTTCCTTAAAACTAGAGTGAGTACCATGTCAATCACACAATTCATTCTATAACACTTTCTCTTGCCTTGAAATTGTGATTTGCATTGAGAAAAATCCTTTTGCTCTGCAAAAAGCAGTTTAAGAATATTTCTGAACTCCTCTGTGACATAGATATAGAAAAATCTTTTTTGTTCTTTACCCATTGTGTTGTCTTCTGGGACTGTCACTTCACCTTGACAATACACTAGTTTCACCAGTTTTATAACTAATTTTCATGCCTCTAGCAAATTACTTTAAAAAAAAAAGAAGAACAAAGACTTTTACTGACCTGAATCTACCTTCCTCAGACATAGGTTGTTTTTTGATCACCTTTTTGCTTTTTAATATCCACCTTCACACTGTTTAGCCTGCTTACTTCTCTTTGGCTCCCCTAGACATTTTCTTTTGCTAAGTGCTTTTGCATTCACTTCACACCACAAGTATGGAGTTTACTCTTCACACTCAATTTTAGATTCTTCATAGGAAGTGCTTTCATTTTTGTTAATTCCATGCTCATTAGGAAATAATTCAAAATACAACATTGAGTTAAACAGGGGGAATCCAAAATTCTTTATTTTCCCTAATTTGTAAAAAACATTTGCTAGACTTTCATCTCACAGTATTAAAATTTCATTGCAAATCAGATGCAGTTTCAAGATAATTCTTTCTTCTACTACTAAAAAAAAGTATTTAAAAAGTTGTATGTACCTTTTGTGAAGCTATCTTACACCTCAGTATTTCAGCTAACAATAAGAACTTTTTCCATTCAACAGAGCACAGTACAGAAACATCAAAACTGGTTATGACCAACCCTGTAGCCCTGTGCACCAACATACAGATACTGAGGTCCAAAGCATAATTTAACATGTCACTGCTCCCAGCCAACAAGCCAGTTTCTCTAATTAGCTAAGTAAAGTCAGGTTCTCTTCCAGTATTAGTTTGATGTGGTAATTTAGACATCACTAAACCACAGTTCACTGCTCAGTGTTAACATAACCTCAATAGTGTCTTCAATTTGTTGAACCTGATGGGACTTGCACACTCCAATATATTTTTAAGAGAAATACACTAACATTTATTTCTCCCAATAAGACACATGCACCTGGTTTATGCTCGGATAACATTGGTTCTTAAATCCTCAATGTGCAAAAACAGTACCTCTCCCTCAAATTCCAGTTCCCTTTCTGTTGTATAATGTCAGAGGATATATATAAAAATGTAGAGACTAAAAGAAAGAAATGGATAAGGTCAAGACAAGCAAAAATGGCCTAAAGCTCTGCAACCCAACTAAGTAGAGCAACAAACATCTATTTTCATTTACAGCTCCCATAAAGTGATGTAGCTGATGACAAGGAGTTTCCATGACTGTACACAATCTGAGTGAAAAATGAGTAAGACCTTCAAAACTTGCTGCCAGTAATTTGCCTGAAGCTCCTGCATTGGTTTTTAAGGTAAAGAAACTATTTCCAGCTAGCAGTAGGTTTTTTCTTATTTTATTATTCCTTTTGCTTACAATACTCTGTAAGGCCCTTAGAACTATGAAAGTCCTATGGGCATTTCCCTAAAAGGGTGTCTCTGCTCTCAGGCTAAGAGACAAGACAAGGACTAGGAGCCACTGTATAAGGGGGACTAAGTTTATGAAATACACTAACTACAACACCTTTTGGACTTCACGGCTTCAGTAAATTATTATTTTCTGCAATCAAGAAAGCCCAGGCAGCCTTCAAAAGTTTAGGTACATATTAGTGCACATAAAATGTGCTTCAGCAAAAATAAATTCTCTTCACATACCTGACTAAGAAAGGAATTTCGTTTGATCCCTCTCCTTTCAGAACCAATGTCCTCACCCCACCAGAATATGCATTCCATAAGCTTGTTGCCAACTGAGGTCATGAACAACACGGAATCAAGTGGCCCAATTCCAAAATTTAACACTCATATTCTTACCTCATCACTTTCTCACACTCTATGTGAGCAATCATATCAGAGAAAGGGCAGCAGGATGATATGAATTCTGCCTAATTATTAAAAGACAGACCACCTCTGGTTACTTGCAAGAATCTTGCTTTCTGCAATATCTGATTTGAGTTTTATTCAACCTCCCACATCGCAGAACAGGGAAGAGAGAAGCAGAGAGGAGAATCAAACGACAGTATGCAACTGCATATTTGTAACCCATAATTTAGTTAACATTTACAATGAAACACCACATCAGAGACTTAGAAGCATTTGTGTGCAAGCAATGCATGATAAGGGTTTCAGAATGCGGAGCTGGACTGAACAGACACTTCAGTATAATGACTATTATAAACATAATTGTGTTCTTATAAACAATTAAAACAATTAGAGGCATCTTCCCAAAACTCTACATAAAACTGTCAAATGCAAAATGATCCTTCAAACACAAAATTAACTTTTGCTCTCTTTTTGCCTAGGATTAAAATCACACAGATGGGTTTTAATACTGAAGAACTGTTAATTAAAGACATGTTTGGTGTTGTATAAAACATAGGAAAGAAAATGCTGTAAGCATTCCCCAAAGCCTAAGAACATACAATTCTAAAACAATGTGATACAGTACGAGATAACTTATGCAATGCAAACAACTAGCACACTTTTGTTAGAATATTGGTTATACAATTAACACTTGGCATGTACTGTACTTTACAGCATTTAACCCATAGGCTGTTTAGAAAGTCCTGCAATTTAGCACCAGCAGTGGTTAACATACAGAGATACTTTGTTATAAAGTCCCCTTTCTCATACTAAATTTTCTGCTTACCTTTGATTCTGTCTGTGCCTCTTTCTGGCACAGGATGTCAAGAGGAACACAGTATCCGGAACACCCTGTATTATTTCAAGCACCTGTTCCTTTAATATTCATCCATACTCATAATTATATCCAAATAGAACATACATGTTTGTATACAGTCACACAGGCTCCATCAAGCTACGGATGGGAGAAAACTGTGAAACAGGTTAGAGGGGCTGCTCTAAGAGATTGCTTACCCAGCCTCTACACCTCTCCTATGTTAGTAACTGAATAGGGAAAGCACAAAGAAGAAAGCAATAGTGAATCTAGGGGTTAAAAAATGCTCCCTAAAAGAAAGTCAGACTTCATGTTGTTGCATATACCACTAGCTACGTAACCAAGATGCAAAGCTTGGCTCTGCTAGGAAAATGTTGTAAAGGCATCCAGCATATACAGCACACCAAACACTGAAGTACTGTCCTGAATTAGTTGCTGCTGCTAAGTGCAGCCATGAAATTCAGTGAATAGCACCAATTGCTCAATTTGCTTCTGGCATCAAGTTATACTTCCAACAGTGACTGGTAAACAGCTAAAAATATTACTCTGATGCATTCTTCTTCTGCTAGGCAATACTTTTTACTTTTTTTTGGTCCTGTTCTGGCAAAAGTAAGGTCTGTGTCATATCCTGTCAAAACACAGCAAAGCAGAAAAGCCAAATTTTGCTATTTTAGCAAAGGCTGGAAGGATTCTGCAGTTTTCTCTCCCATGTAAAAATTAAACAGAGCATTTTTATTTTGTTGCTGCATGATCATCACTAAAAGAATAGTGATTTCCTTATCTGGTTCTAATGGCTGTTTTGTGGTATATTTGACAAAATGTACCAGCAACACAATAAAAGTACTTACTTTTTCCTTTGTGTTTTCAAAAATACATCTTTTGGCTGTGAGATTAATAAAAACACGCCAAAGTTAGCAAAAACTCTGTTGCTTCTGATTGCTAGCCAAAATTTGAAACTTCAGATTTTTTCCACCTCCACATGAAGGCAGAAGGTTTTTTTAAAAACCCAGGTATTTAAAGCTACTTCGTAGTTAAATCCCACAGATTTCTAGAAGCATCTCCATATCAACTGCTCATCTGCTGTTTACAAAATGTTCTATAAAAGAACGAAGAGATAGCATTAAATGCAAACAGTATATGTTTGAGCCATTATATGACAAAATAAAGTTGAAGGCCCAACTCCACCAGTGGAGCTTCTATACAGTCAGTTCCCTCAAATTTGTTCCTGTTTGAGTCAAATCACTTCTAGTTACCTTATGAGAAAATTAGATAGACCTTGCAAAGGAGAACCACTTACTGCTTTCTATACTGCTTAGATGAAGATCCACACAGCTTACTGTCATGTCTTCAACACAGGTGAGTAGAAGATACATAAAGAAATTTGACTCTGGTTTAATGCAATTACCATTAAATCCTTTACACCCATTAAAACTGACAGCTAATTGCACAAACACAGACTAAGTTTCTTATTATTGCACTGTCCTTTGCCCTTACTAAGCTCAAGGAATAGCATTTTCCAAAAAAGGCTGAGCAAATAAAATTTCCACAGTATCAACTGGAAATGCATTTAATCAGAAACTCTGAAAAAATCAAAGTCTTCATCTATCACAAGGCAGCCTTCCAAATATATTCAACTGGTTTTGGAACACCAAATATATACTGCTTTTGAAAATTACTAACCTGAAATGTCACACCATTCTTAAACAGGAAATGCAAAATGCTGGGCTTTTTAATGGAGAGGAATTTCTTTTTACTTCAGATTCAGTAGGACTAGACTCTACCTTTACTTTGACTTGAGAAATACTGTCAGTCTATCAGAATCAAAGTAATGCATACAGCTGGCTCATTTTGTTCAGAAATACTATGCATTGACAAGACTTCATTAAGCATAATAAATTATCTATAAACACAAGTTAATCTAATTTTCCACAAAAGCAATTCCAAAAATAAGGATTTGCAGCCAAAATATTTTGGCACAAAGCACTTCTCCAGAATTTCAAATTCCCTGAAAGAGGAGACCTGAACAACTCTTCTGGTTGTATCACTTACCTACTTTCTATTTTACTTCACACAGAAGTACCAGTCAAAGGAAAAAGGTAATAAAAAGTAAGAAAAATGAGTCATATTTTCAGGACTACATTTATTCTAGAAATACATATAATCAAGAAATTAAAACGTATCTTAATGATCAGAGCCGCAAGTCAAACCCAAAAAGCCTCAGTTTTAAAGTAATCCAAATGCATCTACAATGAAAACAATTACCTGCTACTAGCTTTTGGAGGGTACTCTTATCTCCATTAACAGCAGCAGCATGCACTTCAGATGCTAAGGAGGAACCACTGAAGAGGCAGTTTGCTGAAATATTCATACTCTTTCAAGGTATTACCATAGGTCAGATCTGCACCACCAACATTTTTTGTAGGAATTCAGCTCTAGAAAAAAACCAAAACCACAACAATAAAACAGAATTAATTTTACAAGGAGTCATTAAAATAACTGTGGATTAAATCTACCTCCAGCCAAAATTCACCAGAAAAAAAAAGCCTACGTTAAGAAGATACATATATTCTAGTTTCCTTGTCTTAAACATAAATTTCAGTCAATAAGCTTTGCAAAAGTCTGCAAATAGGGTAGTGTTTATCTACAAACCCAACATACCATTCTTCAGAGTGTTGGCATGCACGCTTCAATTCAATACCCATTGAAGTCTGCTATCAAGTATCAACTTGTTATACTCCTCCAGTATAGAATCACAGAATAGCCTGACTTGGAAGTTGGGATCATCAAAGTCCAGCTCCTGGCTCTGCACAGGGACAGCCCCAAGAATCACACCATGTGCCAGAGAGTATTGTCCAAATGCTTCTTAAACTCTGTCAACTTTGGTGCTGTGACCACTTCCCTGAGAAGCCTGTTCCAGTGCCCAACCATCCTTTGGGTGAAAAACCTCTTTCTAATATCCAAGCTAAACCTCCCCTAATACAACTTCAGGCCATTCCCTTGGGTCTTGTCACTGGTCACCAGAGAGATCAGTGTCTGCCCTCCCTCTTCCCCTCAAGAGGAAGTTGTAACTGCAATGAGGTCCCCCCTCAGTCTTCTCTTCTCCAGGCTGAACAGATCAAGTGACCTCAACCACTCCTCTCATACGGCTTCCCTTCAAGGTCCTTCACCATCTTTGTTGCCCTCCTTTGGACACTAATAGCTTCATGTCTTTCTTATATTGCAGTGCCCAAAACTGCACACAATAATCAAGGTGAGGCCACACCAGTGCAGAGCAGAGCAGGACAATCCCCTCCCTCAACTGACTGGTGATGCTTTGCCTGATGCCCCCCAGGACATGGTTGGCCCTCCTGGCTGCCAGGGCACTGCTGACTCAGATTCAGCCTGGTATCGACCAGGACCCCCCAGGTCCCTTTCCATTGCACTGCTTTCCAGCATCTCATTCCCCAATCTGTACATACATCCAGGGTTGCATTGCCCCAAGTGCAGAGTCTTGCATTTGCCCTTGTTGAACTTTATATGGTTGGTGACTGCCTAGTCCCCTAATTTGTCGAGGTCTCTCTGCAGGACCTCCCTGCCTTCAAGAGAGTCAACACCTCCTCCCAGTTTAGTATTTGTCACCAAACCTTGTTTAGTATTTCTTTGAGTCTTGCGTCCAAGTCATTAATGAAGATGTTGAAGAGCATTGGGGTGAGGATGGAGCCCTGTGGAGCCCCACTAGTGACAGGTCACCAGCCTGGTGTTACCCCATTAATTATAATCCTTTATGCTGACCTGTGACCCAAGTGCTCACCCACCTCATGATGTGTTTATCCAGCTGTGTGCTGGACATTTTGTCCAGAAGGATCTTGTCAGAGACAGTACTGAAAGCTTTACTGAAATCCAAATTAAGATTACATGAGCTGGCTTCCCTCGGTCAACTAGGTGGGTTACCTTGTCATAAAAGGAAATTAAGTTTGACAAGCAGGACTTTCCTCTTGCAGATCTGTGCTGGCTGTGATCAACAACTGCATTGTCCTTCAGGTGTTTTTCAATAACTGCCAGAATGATTTCTTTATAATTTTACCAGTCACTGATGTGAGACTGACAGGCCTGTAGTTTCCAGGGTCATCCCTCTTGCACTTCTTGAAAGTGGGACAACGTTAGTCAGCACACAGTCAACTGGGACCTCTCCAGATTCCCAAGACCGCTCAAAAATCATTGAGACAGGCCTGATGGTGATATCAGCCAGCTCTTTGAGGATTCTCAAATGAATCCCATCAGATGCCATAAACTTATAGGGATCCACCTGGAGCAGCAGATCCCACACAAGTTCAGGGTCAACTGGGAGCGCATAATTCTCATCATCACGGTCCTCCAGCTCAGGGCACTGGGATCCCTTTAGCCTGTCATCAGTGGTGAACACTGAAGTAAAGCAAGCATTAAACATCTTCATCTTGTGTATGTCCCTGTTTGTAAGGTGATCATCCTCATCTTGTAACTGGCTGATCTTATTTCTGTGCTTCCTTTTGCTAATCATGTATTTAAAAAAAACCCTTTTTATTGTCCCCCACATCTCTGGCCAGGTCAACTCCAATTGAGCTTTGGGCACACAAATTTTCTCCCTACAGTGGCAAGGGGCATCTCTGAATTTCTCCCATGTCACCTGACCTTGCTTCCACTGGGCACACACCCTTTTTTTTGCCTTAGCTCCAAAAGAAGATCCCTGCTCAGCTAAGCCAGCCTGACAGTCTGCTTGACTTACAACATTCTGGAATTGCCTGCTCCTGTGCCCTTAGGAGGTGGTGTTTAAAAAGTGAGCAGAACTGATGGAGTCCAGTACCTTCAAAACCATTTTTCCAGGGGACTTTACTAACTAGTTCCTCCATTTTCTTTACATTTTACCTTTCCACAAACAAATAAACTAAAATATGAAACATCCAGAGGCAGCAGTGTAAAATTCAGCAAATACTGAAGAACTTAGTAAACCATCAGAAGCATCCTAATTATATCAACAGTAATTTTTACATAAAACTGACTGCATACAGAAGAGAATTGATAATGAAAGATGATCATGATTTCCAGATGAAAGCAGCAGCCCCATCTGCCTAAAGGATCAGTAATCATACACGTGAGAGAAGCAACCCATTATCTCTACAGCAATTCCCAGTACAGTATCTTAACTCCATTGAAAGAGCCAATTCTGCATCAGAGAAGTTTTGAAATATTAAGAGGAACTATAAAAGGAAAATATGTAACGTTCCTCAGATATTTCTCTCATGTATATGACAAACAGATGAATTGCTGTGTCGAAGAGTTGTTTGATAAAGACCCTCATTAACTAAAAAAGAGGCATTTATTCAATAAAAATAAAGAAATAAGTACAAGATCTGCTTATAAAAAGTTACATAATTTACAATATCTGAAATATACATCATATCATCAGAATGAGGTAAATAATTCACTTTTCTTCTTTAGGCTAACATGTAGAAAAATATTAGCCTTGTCAAATCACCTGACATGAAAGGATATTCATAAGAACAGCAAGACTTCTTCAGGTATGGGAAATTTCGTACCAAACTATAGGAAGTCTACTTTGGATTACACAGATAACCAGAATTACATAATTTTTCTATTCAGCAAAACACGAGGTTGTTAAAATTTAAACATGATCACTCTATCAAATTTTACTGATACAGTTTCGAAGTGAAGAAGGAGCTGTGAAAAAATATCAAAGATCTTTCAAATGTGAGTTAATTCAGAAGATAAAACATGCATTCTACAGATGGAAGAGCACGAGTTCTTAAGGTAGTCATAGCAGAACTGATAAAAGCCAAGTTTCAATTTCAGACTACAAAAAACTACACGATTTGTGTGTGTGTTTTCAGCTTATGAAACCGACAGGCCACAAGACTTTTGCGGGATGACGCATAAAGTCAGAGCCTGTCAGGCTCTGAAACAGAGCCAGGCTTGACCTGGAAAAAGCTGATGTACAGGACTTTCTTTTAAATGGCGTTACGCCCTGTTTCCCTCCTTACACTCGTGTACATACTGGAAATGTGACAAATGCAAAGCGCAGCTCTCCATGATCTTTTCGAGACAGCTCTGCGAGGTCTTAAAGCACGTATGTATTCTGTAAGGTCCGAAGTTTTACTGGAAGAGGGCAAAACCCCGAATTTTGGGCGTTCTTCACTTTCAGAATTTACAACTGAGGAAGCGCCAGAACAAATCTGTTGAAGCGTCTAAGGATAAACATCAACAATGACGCTCCACTTTAGCTGAAGTTTCCCAACCCTCCCACCAGCCGCTCTGTCCCCTCACACACAGACTTCCAAACGGAAGAAAGTTGCTTCCCAAACTCCGAGAGCGCGAGGATCACAACGCGCACAGCGCCCAAATACCCCTCCTCGTATTCCCTACAGCTAAACCCGTGTCCCCAGTCCCGGCGGCTGATGGAACAAGGCGGGATCCCGAAGAAACGCTGGGGGCTCTCAGGAACGGGGCAGCGGGGACCCATAAGGAGCCCCAGCGCCCGACCCAGAGTGGAAAAGGATGCGGTGCCAGGGGACACCCCCCCACACACACAGCAAGGCGGGAAGGGTTAACCCTGCCTGCCTTACTTCCCTCCCTCCTTCCCTGCCCCGTCCCGCGCTGCAGCTGCGCCCCGCAACTCACCTCCACCCCGCCCGCCTCCTCATCGCGCCGCCACCGCCCACAGGCACCGCCCCTCGGGCAGCCCCGGTGCGTTCTGGGACCTGCGCCTCCTTCCGCTCTCCCTTCCCACTCCTCCTTCCCTTCTTTCCCTCTCCTCCTCCTTGCCCTCCCCTTCCCGGAACTACGGATCCCGGCGTGCCCCGGGAGCGGGCGGCGGAGCGCGGGGCCCCGCGGTGGAACTTGCCCGGGTGTTTCCTGGCGACGGGGGGAAGTGGAGGAGCCGCCGCCGCCGCCGCCGCCGCGGAGAGTGGGAGCCGCGCTTCTCCCCGCTCCCTGCCGGGCGCCTGATCTACCATGAGACCCGCCATCTTCCCGCTCCTGCCTGACCCTGGCTGCCTCCTGCTCCTCCTGGTAAAAGCCGCCGGCTCCCCGCTGCCCTTCCCTTCCCCGCGCCGGCTGGGGTGGCCGGCGGGCCCCGCTCGGGGCTATCCCGTCCCTCGCTCGCTCCTTCCCGGCCGGCGGCACCTGCTGGGCGGGGGAGGGGAGGGAGGAGCGGCGCCGCGGCGGCCCCAGCGGTGTGGCCGAGGCCGATAGGCTGCGCGCCCCGGGTGGGGCCGGGCCCGGGGCAGGGGCCGGGCGGGCGGTGCGGCCTCACCTCGGCCCCTCGGGTGCGGGACCCCGCGGGGAATGGCCGTAGTAGGGCCGCTTTGCAGCCACCTGGAAGGAGGTTGGGGCCAGGTGGGGGTCGGCCTCTCCTCCCAGGCAACTGGCGACAGGACGAGAGGACGTGGTCTTAAGCTGCG